ACAAGAAAGTAGTGTGGCCATAGACCACCCCTCATACAGTAGAAATGAACCAATCAGGAATGGACCCAGCACCTAGAGTTATCCAGTTAATAAGGGTAGAATTTGAGAAGGAACAAGGGGGAAGGTAAGGGAGGGCTAATCGGAACCTTACAAAACAAAGGCCTTTGCCTATAGTCACTTTCTAATGTCCCTTCTCTGTAAAGAGAGCTTTCATACTATTCTTCCTTTTTAATCTTATACTCATAAAGCTTTGCCTGCTGCTAAAAAAAAAAAAAAAAGTCATAATAATTAAACTTACATAGTTCTATCCTCATTCTTAATGTTTAATGTCTCCTAAATTTTTTTCTTTTCACAATAATAAATATTATCTCCCAAATGAATATTACATATTATCCCAGTTTAACTGAAAAACAAAGTTAAGAATATTCACCTCTTTTGCAAATTCCATTCATTTGAAACTTAATATGGTGGTTTTTAGACAGAAATCAATTTAGATATACTAATGTAATATAATATAGTATCGTATAATGTAGCATGAAATTATAGTATAATATATGTAATATGTAACATATAATATAACATATTATAATAGATTATTTATATATACATTCAGTAGATATATGAATAAATTATAATGCTTTAAATGAAATATTAAGCTTGTCCTCATCTTCATCTCAGGTTAATAGCAGCATGATTCAATATAACACTAGAAAAATGTAGAACAGCAAGTGACCAAGAAAGAACAAAGTAGATGGATTTAGTGAAATTTAACCATAAGAGCTAGATTCTAGTAGTTTCACTCACCTTAAAATCTTTATCATTGCTTATTTTCTCAAAATTTTTATGGATAAACATGAAAAAGTCTAATACCAATCAGCTTTCTAGCGAAATAAAAATGGAAGTAGGCAATAAATCTGTTTTGAGAATCACAACAACTGCAACTGAGAGGTAATTTTCAAAGGTAAAGAATTCCAAATTGTAGCCCTCAATTTAACAAATATCTACACCCTGCTTGTTTTATCTATGATCAGCTTGTTAAATAATGATGCGTAGTGGAAAATAGGATTCCAAAACTCAAGGTCATATTTTTTAAAAAAGACTAATTAAAATTGCTAAATAGATAAGTACAAGATTATTTCTAAAATTTTTTAATGTTTTATTTATTTCTGAGAGAGAGAGAGAGAGAGAGAGAGAGAGAAAGCAGGGAGGGGTCAGAGAAAGAGGGATACACAGAATCCGAAGCAGGCTCCAGGCTCTGAGCTAGCTGTCAGCACAGAGCCTGATGCGGGGCTGGAACCCACAAGCAGTGAGATCATGACGTGAGCCGAAGTCGGACACTCAACTGACTGAGCCACCCAGGCGCCCCAGTACAAGCTTATTTCTAGAAAAGAATGATGTTATTTTGCTTCCATTATTTTGATTTAAAACCTATAATCCCTCTAGGCTAAGAAACAAAATAAAAGCATAATTAATACTTAGTTTCCATTTAATGATGCAATGTTATGACAAAATCTATTAAAAAAGTCTTTGGGGTGCCTGCGGGGATCAGGTGGTTCAGTGTCTGATTCTTGATTTTCGCTCAAATCATGATCCCAGGGTCATGAGATCGAGCACCACATCTGACTCTGTGCTTACAGCACAGAGCCAGCTTGAGATTCTCTCTCTTCTTCACACTCTGCCCTTCACACTTCTGTCTCTCTCTTTCTTAAAATAAACAAATAAAAATTTAATTTTTTAAAAAATAAAGGGTCATAGAAATTTTTATAAAGGAAAGCACATAAAGGAAAGCAATAACATATATTTGTTAAGTGTATGCTCCATCTAAAACTCTGTCTCTTAGCCCCTCACTCTCACAAAACATTTTCCCTGGCATAATCTTACATTTTTGTTAGACTAATTATTGCCAGAAAAATTGCAAACAGAATGTAAACTAAGTATTTTCAAATGCCCTAGGACATCCTACATTCTTACAGTGTTATATTTTCCCAAATACATTCTTGTAAAATAATAAACTTAAATAATATTATTTAATTATTTAATATATTACAGTGACTGAAAGTTAACCAAATGATTATTGGTTGAATAAAGTATTTCTTTCCCAAATGATAAGTATGATGATAATTACTACAATTACCTAAAGTACTCAGCACAAACACTAGACAGTTTGATAGTTTGAACCCACAAGGCAGACACTATCATTTTTTAAAATCTGATGAGGAATCAGAAGTATACAGTTGTTAAGCAACTTGCTCAAAGTTATCCACATACCTGGTAAGAAATAATTACACTTTAGAGCATGTTTCTTTATCAAATGGCTTCTCTATTATCCTAATCATTCAACTTAGGCAACTCGCCATCCCCCTTAATACCCTGCTTTCCACAAAGCCCCGATCCAATGCACCCTAAGGTTCTATCAGCCCTTCCCTAAAAACGCAACTCCAGGGGCACCTGGGTGGGCTCTGTGCTGACTTCCAGCTCAGAGCCTGGAGCCTGTTTCATAGTCTGTATCTCCCTCTCTCTCTGACCCTCCCCTGCTCATGCTGTCTCTCTCTCTCTCTCTCTCCTAGAAATAAATAAAAATATTAAAAAAAAAAATGCAACTCCACTTTGTCGACTTCTCTTCGTTTGCTTCATCATCACCCTGATCCAGTCCTTTTATTCTCTAATTATGAAAACTATAACACAAGTTCTTATTGGAAAACTCTATCTACATTTTCACAATTTCTTAATTTTCTTAAGTTTATTTTATAACCCTCAATCTACTTCTAAAAACATAAATGTCATTATGTTACACTGATTTTGAAACTGTCTCCAAGTTTCACTCTATACTTCAAATTAAATCTAGCAAAATTCTTAACAAGACCACCAAGCCCCTGCATTATTTTGGTTCGTGATGATCTCTCCAATCTCCCCCATTCCATTACTATGCACTCCACCCACTGGGTGGCTCAGTGGGTTAAGTGTCGGACTTCGGCTCAGGTCATGATTTCATGGTTCATAGGTTTAAGCCCCGTGTCGGGCTGTGTGCTGACAGCTAGTTCAGAGCCTGGAGCTTGCTTCAGATTCTGTGTCTCCCTTTCTCTCTGACCCTCCCCTATTCACTCTGTCTCTCCTCTCTCTCTTTCATAAATAAATGAAACATTAAGAAAAAAAAAAAAGAGTCACATCAGCCTTCCTTTAGCGTTTTCAGTTTAGGAGGCTATTCCTCCTTCCCCGTATTTTAAATCCAGCTTAAATGTTACTTCCTCAGAGAGTCATTCTTGATCAGTTAGCTTAGTTTCTCCCCATTATTCTCTAAAGATATTTGAGTGTTTTGGAGCTTTGACATATACACCATATACTTCATATATTATAATGCCTGTGTCTTTGACCATGGTTAATAATATATTTAAACTTGTTTTATAAGAAGATCATTTAAAGATGCTCCAAATGGAACTTCTATATCAATTTTGAGATTGAAGGCATTTACAAGTTTGGAATCTAAACGAAATCATTAATTTTCAAATATCAAAAATATTTTGCAAAAGAATACACAAGAAGCTACATGTGTGATTCTCTTCCTTTTAATCAACATGCATGTGTAAGCGCTGGCAAATACTAGAATCTTATAAGTAATTGTTCATTTTATCTGTCTGTCTGTTGGTCTTTAGAGTCTATGATTTAACTCAGTGTTTCATAAAATCCTTTTACTAAATTATATCCCTAACGAAAATTATAAACATATCATATACCAAGTTTTTACTTTGTCTCCAATTCTGTCTGACATATACCTATACCTATACATATACAAACATATACATATACATATACATATACATATACATATACATATACAAACATATAAACATGGCTTAGAGTTTACCAGTAGGCCAGACACTCATGGAACAAATGTTCTCAAATTTTTATTGTAAATCAGAGTTACTTATGAAGTTTGTTTAAAAAGAAACATCTGCCTAGGTCATCCCCAGAGATTTCCATTCAGCATATTTGGGGTGAGGTCAGGCCACCGTATTTTTAACAAGCTCCTCAAGGGCATTCTGATTCACCCTGTCTTAAGAGACACTTTTTAAACTTTTCTAAGTGAGTTTAGAAGCTAATATTAGATTTCAGTGCTGAGCTCTTTAGCAAAATCTGGTTTTCTTTACTTTGGCATCTTCAGGTAAGTAGAGCCTATTAATGATACTTCAAATTATTTTAAGGCCTTTTGAAATATTCCCCCCTTATCGTATTTTATGCATAATATTCCACTTTGAATTCTTTGAGTGTGTCAAGTGCCTTTCTCCTTCTGGGTGTCTGAACTTGAGATTCTTTCTTGCCTTTGAAGTCTACCCTCAGTTCTATATGGCTGTCATTATCCATCCATTAGGATTCTCCCTATGTTATCTTGTCATTTCCTCCAGAAAACCTTTTGTTCTGTTGGTAATATATAGGTCTACTTGTGAGTAGGAAGTCTCATAGTTTACATATCACTTTATGTGCCACTAGAATTCAAGGCCCCCTTTGAAGGTAGACCTTGTTTTCTATTCCTAACCCTGTATTCCAAGTACAGAACACACTGCCTGGTATAAAGTGGGTCTAAAAATGTATTATGTAATGTATTCATTAGCTTTTCAATTTTTTCCTTTGTTTGTGATTTTGCTACACAACTCAGAGATTTTTTAATCTCTGAACATTACTTTAAAGTTGACCCATGCTTCTCTCATTTCCTAAATTAGAAACCCCAAACCAAAGAGGTTTAGAAACTTGCCTTGCCCCATCAAGTCTATAATTAGTATCAGACTAAAGCCCAGCACTTACAGCCTAGTGCTTGATCCATTATTTGTTTCCCTACCCAAGATAATTGTGCAAAACCATATACGGTGTCAGAACAATTCAATTTGCTAAATTCACACGGCAGTTATCATATATAAAAAATGATGGGCTTAGTTTTTTTTTGGGGGGGGCACTCTGCACTGTATTTCTGTTTATTGAAATTCTCATTATCATGTGAGCTGTTTTACCTCCTCCCCATCGCAGGCATCTCGCTAGATCATTGCCAGTCCCAAGAGGCAGAATAGCAACTGGAGGATGCTTGACAACATTAGCCTTTTCTGTGGAACAGAAAAATTAAGATAAAATAAAATTTTGATCACAGATGGAAAAACAGTAAATAAGACAGCTTGGCATGAAGCATCTCACTAGGTACTTAAAAGCAGGAAAAGTTATGTTTTATAGCTATATACAATTACAAATTAAGTTTCATTTGTGTGTATTTATAATAATGTATAAAACACAAATAAATACCATAATTCACAAAGTCACAGGAATTTTCAGGACTTATGCCTGAATAAAGCCTTTTAAAATCTTAACTCAATTAAAAATTATGGCAGATTTCATTTAATATCAATGAAATTCTCAAGGATTCACGTACATGCATATAGGAATATCCTAGAGGTGGGTCATCAGAGTGGAGGAGAGCATTGCTGTAACACCAACACCACCAACTCTAGGTATATTTCACTTTAAGAAATAAAATGTTTCAAAAAAAATCAAACTCTGGAAGCTAGTAAAATGTTAAAAATGTTTCACTGTATTCCTACCCATGGCTCTGCTTTGGGTCAAAGTAAACAACATAAGAACTGGGTAATTCTGAGATCAGCAGGGTTCTTTCAGATTAAGCTTTATAGAACATAGTGCTTTGGGTTCAGAAAAGACCTCTGTCATTAAAATTCTGCAGTTTTGTTTAAACCATCATATGCCTTTGATTACTCTCACAAACATATATTACTTTTCTTTATTTTTCCTACCTGCTCAGCCATCAAAGTGAGTATGTGGCTGTGTGGAAGAATGGGGAGAGAAGATTATTTAGGGATGGATGTGCCCCAGTGTAATCTGTGAGGTTTAGATTTGGGACGCGAAAACAAACTTGACAGTAGTTTTTACTAACATTCTCTGTTCAAGCGGCTTTAATTACTGCAGTTCTTGAATTCTGATTTTCTCCTTTGATAATGCACCTTATGCTATTTACATCTTCTACTGAAAGGCTAAAGAACAGTTTTCACTGTTTCTTAAAAAAATGACTGATATCATAAGATGCTTAGGAAAAGAGTATTGACACATGCACTCACTTTTAATTTGAATACTTTCGTGTATATGAAAAGATAGAATATTCTCACTTGTATTAACTAAATGAAAGTTTGCTTCGATTTACATATATAGCAAAACTTCTTTTGAACCAATTATTTGCCTTTTGTGAAGGGCCCATTTTTGTAGCTGAAATGAGAACTAAAGAAATGGATATTTGTTTGGAATTTATCTCCTAATAAAGGCTGATTCATGATGATTTTACTGACTAGTAATGAGTTCTGACATCTGTCTCTGAAAAACTAGATAACTTTTCTCAACCATCACATTTTTTTGGTATATGCCTACTTTTGATCCTTAGTTGTGTATCTGCTTTGTTTGCTTATTTAAAAATGTTTTGGGGCACCTGGGTGGCTCAGTAGGTTAAGCATCCCAACTGCAGCTCAGGTAATAATCTCACAGTTGGTGGGTTTGAGCCCTGCATTCAACTCTCTGCTGACAGCCCAGAGCCTGGAGCCTGCTTCGGATTTTGTGTCTCCCTCTCTCTCTTTCTTTCTCTCTCCCCATCTCTCTTCCTATTAAAAATAAATAAGTAAACATTTAAAAAATTTAAAAAAAATGTTTTAAAAGTTTAGAGAATCAATATAAAATAAGGCTAAAGTGTGAGCTCGAATCCCAGTTCTGTCAATTCACAGCTCTTAAGACACTATTCCAATTATTTAACTTCTTCGTATATTTGAGCCTCTCTTTATAAAATGGGATTATCAATACTATGTCACAGAATTGTGAGATTAGGATGGGGTAAAAATCTTAGCACAAGGTCTACAAGATAGTTCATGATAAATAAAAAATAGCTATGGTAATAATGATGATTGATATATTTGATATGAATGTACATATAGAGGGTAAGGTTTAGAGGCTCCATGCTTAAATGAAATAAGTACATCTATTTGGCACACACTTGATCACAAATGCTAAGATGCTCTTTGGCTCCCTCTCCAGGGCAAAGAAACAAATGGAATTTGTAAAGCCTGACTTGAAAATAGCTCTGAGGATTTAGTAAATTCCAAGAGAAATGGATTACAAAAAGAAGGATTTCTAGATAGAAATTGCAAATTATTTTGCCAATTAAGATTTCAAAATGTAGAAAATACATTAAACCAGTAAATAATGTGCAACATGCCAGATGTCTGATTATACCACTGTAGCAGTCAAAGATGTCAATGCATTAACGACATAAATAAGACATACAGCCTTTTAGGTTACCACTCTCACCCCAGCCACATTGAATGTGTGTCTCCATTACCTATGCAGTCCAAAATCCACCCCACAGTTCCATCTCCACCACAGGCCAACACTCTGAAATCAGGAACATCACGGAAAAAGTTTAACCTGAAAAATAAGCATGTCATAGCACATGATTGACGCTTTAAAATTAGGACTTGTAAAGTTTTGTATTCTTAGCATTTTATCTAATGACAGACATTTTTATTTTATGAGAACTGTAAAATAACATCAATGATTTTGTGGAAAAATATTCAATTCCTATCTAGAATAAAATTATAAAATAAAAGAATTAACATCTTGCTTAAACATATTTTAACTGTATCTTCTAGATTAGTCAACTCTAAAGTTTAAAAAACAAAACTGATGCATCATACTAATTTTATTAAAACTGTCTCTCATATTTGATCTGCATTTCACAAATAATCCAAAGTGACATATATGACAGTGTTTCATTAATAATTTTCACTAACCAAAAATTCCCTTCTGAATCATTATATAACCATTATGCCAGCAAATAAGGTTTTGAGAGTTTTCAGCCTTTTCCATTACTGGAAGAAAGTGATCACACTGCTCTTGGGGTTCTGTTTCCTTTGATTTAGAATCTGCAAATAGTAGGCTTCCTCTTTGCTTTTGACATGGCCCTCTGTGTTTGCTATCTAGGAACACTCAAGCTTAATTTCTGGGTGGGCTGCAATAAATACCATAGTGTCTGTTGCTACTGCATATAACATTGTGCTTATTAATGAAACCTACCTGAGGGAAAGTTAAAAAGGCGGGTATCACAGACAGTTATAAAATTGTACATGCCTGTTTTCTTGCAATTAAAAAAAAAAAACTGAAACAAGACAGAAATATGTGGAATGTGTCTATTTGTCTCCCTTATGCAGTGATAACCGACTAACAGCAATATAATATGCAATCATCCAAGAAATGTTTCCATCCATTTAGGTATGTGAATGTACACATATGAGCATTATTATGCAGCATATTTTTAACATGAACGGAATTATGCTATACATCCTGTTAATGTATTTGTATCCATTTTTTTATTTAAAAATGTCTAAGAGACCTTGCCGTGTCAATTCATATACTGCTGCATCATGATTTATAATAAGTGAATGCATTATATAAGTCTACACTCCATGATCAAATACACCATTTCCCTTCATGTACTTTCAAACTATTTCTACTGTTTCACTATTACAAAAAAATCAGTATTATAGTTAATATTATCTGAAGTACATTTATGTGATCATGTGCCTGTTTTGAAGGCTAATCTACCAGAAGGAAAATGTTCCAGTATACCATCATATTACTCTGAACAGCTCCCGCTATCAGAGATCTAAATATCGATTTCCTTCAGCTTCAAAACACTATAGGTAAACAACTTGAGGATATTTCTTCAGTAATAGTGAAAAATGGAATGATGCTGTTATTGTAAAATCACACATTCCTGCTTGCTAGTGGACTGAGCATATTTCTGTAGGTTTACACATGTGTGATCTCTTCTGTGAACTGCATCTTCAAACCCTCACATTCTTTTCCACTGAGTTTTCTTTTATTATCTTGTGAACTTTACATATTATAAATGTTGTTTCTCATTCAAATTAGTATTAGGAAAAAATTTTGTTAAATTAATACAAACAATGCATAAATATAATAGAAATGCATACAAATTTACTAAAACCCCACCATCCTATAATTAGAGCCATTAATATTTAGAACATGAAAATTCCAAGTATTTTCTTAGGTATTATATGGTGGATATAATGTTAGACATGCTGCAATGTTTTCTTTGAGTTTCTTTCCCATTTGTGTGCTTACATTATGAATAATATAATATTATGCATAATTTAAGCACCTATGTATGCCCACCTCAAGGGGAGAATATTCCCAATAATTTACATAGACCGTTGTGCTCTTTCCCTCCTCCTCATTCTGAGTATTCTGAATTTTTAGTTATTATTGCATGCCATAGACAACATATTGTTCACTTTGTCCTTTTTCTACTTAGCATTATTACTAAGACGCAGTCATGTGATAGCTGAAGTTCTCTTCACGTATAGTTGAAGCTATTTTATTTCTATTCCTAAATATCATTTATGTGAATGTGCCTTTTGAAATTCATGTCAATGGACATTTGGATTAGTTATGTTCTTACAAAAACTGCATTATTGGACATATTGGTCATGGACAGTGGTTACTTTAAGAGTAGGCTATATTTATATGCAACTTAAGTTTCCCAAGAAGTTTTACCAATGCATGCACCCATTCACAGTATAGATAATATTTGGCCCATTCTCTCTAATACCATTAATGTCACATTTCTTAAATTCATGTGTTTCCTCTTTTTGAAATGGTTATTTATGACTTTTATTTCTTTACTCTTTTGTTTCTTGTTGATTTGTAAAAAATTCTTTACTTGTTCTTAATTTAATGCTGTTTTTGCAAATAACTTCTACAAGTTGATTTTTTTACCTTAATTAATGTGTATTTTAATACACAAGATTTTAATGTGTTCAAATTCATCAATATTTTCTTAAGTGGTTAACCCTTTGGCCTGTATTGTGTAAGAAAATTTTGCTTAGTCAGAGGTCTGAAGATAATTCATATATAATCTTTTTTTTCAAATTTCAGTTTTACCTTTGACAAATTCTTTGTGGTGTTGTGAGGTATAGGGATCCCTTTATCTACTTCCCATTCTCTACCTTTCTCCCTCTCTCCACCCTCTTCTTTCTTTTTGATTCTTTCTTTCTCTCTTCCTTCCCTCTTTCTTTCCTTGAGGCTGCTATGCATCAATTTTTCTCTCTTTTTTAATCTTTTTATTTATTGAATAATTTCACTTCCTATCATGCAAGCTCCATCATAAATCAGATTTCCATACAGGAATTCATTTCTTTCTGAACTGTTTATTTTATTCATAATTTTTCCACACCTGAACCAGTACCACATTCTTATAATTCCTTAAGTAATTTTATAAGCCTGTAACTCATAAAGTGTAAAGAATCTAGGCTATTTTCCCTTCTTTGCTTTTCTATACGTTTTAAAGTTAACTTGTCCTATTCCACACACAAAAAATAACAAAAAAAACCCAATTACGATTTTGAACAGAGTAATACAGCCTATAGATCAATTTTGGGAGAAATAAAAATTGTATAATGTAACAAAGTTTCCTCATCCATGATACAGCACTGTTTGATTTGTTTAGATATTGCTTACTGTCCTTCAATAAAGCTTTTCATTTTCTGGCTGCAGGTCTTGTACATATGTAATTAGGTTTATTCTTGTTTGTTTTATAGTTTGTGTTGGTATACTAAATATTATGAAAATAGTTTACTATTAATATTTTGTTGCTGGTAGAAGAAAATATATTTGACTTTTATATTTTGATCTTACAAAGAACCACATTACTCCTGTGGTTTCTATTGCCCATTTTTTGTAGATTCATTTGGATTTCTATGTAAATAATTGTATAATACACTAATAATAATGGTGCTATTAGTGACCTCCAATCTTTCTAATTGTTATTCCTTTTTGTGCTGTCTTGAGTTCTAATACATTGTTGAAATGGGATATTCATAGAGAACACCCTTATTTTTTTCCTAAATTTAAGTGGAATATTTCTGGTTTTCCCCATTTAATAACGATGTTTTCATACAGATTTTCTTATTCTCTTCTTTTTTGAGTGATACCTTTTATAAGGTTAATAAAATTTCCTTCTATTCCTATTATAGTAAGGGTTTTTTATTATGAGTCAATGTTAAAATTTGTTCTGCATCTTTTGAGATACTTATATGGTTGATCTCATTTAATCAGTAATGTGGGGAATACATATTTAGATATTTTTGCATTATTAAAATACCCTTACAATACTTTTATATGCCCAAGTGGGATATTGCTTATTAATATTTTGTAGAGAACTGTATTGCATTTGCTAATATTTTCCTTAGACATTTTGAATCTGTATTCATCAACAAAATAGACTATTTTTCTTCATACATTCACTAATTTTTTGTCAAAATTATTCTGCCTCATAAAATAGGTTTCAGAATATGCTTTCGTTTTCCATTTTGGAAGCATCTGTAAAATTTTTGGAAGGTAGCACTGGCATATAAACTATCCAATTTTTGGTGAGTCTTTGATTTATCTCTTTCTTTTTTAAATAATTTTTTCAATTCCTTTAATAGTTATTGACTAAAATTTCTATTTTAAAATACTCCCTAAATTGGTTTTGGCCATAAGATATTTGATTAATTTGTTTATCTCCTACATTTTCAAACATTGTCTCACTGAAGTGTAGAAAAGCTTTTCAAAATATGCTGGCAGCTGAAAAGTTTACTGTAGAGCTAATGGTTTCTGGTGAAAGCCTAACCATCCATTTGACTCACCATTGTTCTTCTATTCCATGATGATGTTTCATCTGTTATTCATTGTCGTTTCTTTTAAAATTGTCATCATTGGTCCTTCAGCAGCATCCTACCCCCAAACATAAACCCCATGTGACTGTCAGACCAGCTTACTCTCTGTAAATAGATTGCTAAAGGGATTGAAAAATTGACCTCTCTGTCTCAGCCTCTTATTCCACTCAATCCATGCTGTTTTCCCTAGAGATTCATTCATTCCTTATTTCATTCATTCACTGAAGTGGAAAATTATTTAATCATTCTGAGCCTCAGTTTTCTAATCTTTAAAATGGAGTTAATGACATTTGCTTCATTGGGCTGTCTTAAGAAAGAAACAATATGTATATGTAAATTACATTTAACGAGCCACAGGTTATTACTAATTCCATTATTTCCCTTCATTATAAGTAGTATATATGTTTTATAGGTCAGAGTGCCATGCCTTTACTTCCACCCCTCCCTCTCCTTCAGTGTTCTGGCAAAATAATCACAGGGAGAACTGCCTACCAAGCAAAGCTGGATGGACAATGAGGAGTTTCTCTACCTCTGATATGAAACTGTGGCCGGTGAAATACTGGGAGGCCTACTTAGGGCATTAGGGCCCAAAAGAGCAGAGGAAAACAGGTCTGACTGAGAACAAATCAATCCAAGACACTTGGCAAGAACCAAAATGCAGGGCTCTGTATGGGCACTAACTTTTCA